CATCATCAACTTGCAGCAGTTTCTAACTTCAAGGACTTTTTAGAGGACGAAGGAGTACAGCCTACAAGACATAGAAGAGTAAATAAATATTTACTGTACACTTAAATACACCGAGTCACAGAGAGCAGGAAGCTGGTTCAGTGCTCTCAATTGTTTGTTTCACAAGTGGTTACAGTAAAGAAAACATCTACTGTATTGTCCCTGATTTGAATGAGGATAGAAGTTCCTTGAAATGTACTTGAAAGAGTGGAGACGCAGCAGTTCATCATCACTATGAGCAACACCCCACTTTGATTTAGAGGAAGGATGAAGTGAGGAGACGGAGGACAAATGGAGACGAAAAAACAAATACAACTCTGAAAGTGGAGCTCCAAACACCTGCTCGTTTATCCTCCTACTTCATGAAACACCAGTCAAATAAAACAGCTGTGCCTCAGAAATGATCGTTTTTTAAAATATTTAAATATCAGTCAAAACACATGCTTAACTATAACTGTTTCCCCCTGATTTCAGTCTTTGTGCTAAGCTAGGCTAAAGGGTAAAGGGACTTCCTCATTTCATGAATAAATGAGAAAGTAATTATTCTAAAGAAAGAGGTCAAAGTTTCAGAGGCTTTCTATGGATCCCCGTGGTCCATTGTGTTTGAGGATAGATTGTCGACGGAAACTTTTGTTTTTCTTGACAAATACAAATATGTGTTTGTTGTTGCACTTTTGCGTTTTAGTCATGGCTTCATCTCGTGATTAGCTTCAACACTTCACTGCTTCCATAAATTAGAGTTGTTGTTTTAACTGTCACTTTTGATTTCACCTCCAGCTCAAGAGCCCCGTGACGAATCAATGCACTGCAACTGTTTTCTCAAGCCGATGGATTTCCCAACACAATAGTCAAAAACGTGCTTGTTTTTTCCCCGTTCCCTTCGTTTTACGGAGCCCTGCTCAGGATACACCGAGTTAGGTAGCATATACTGAAACCAAACAGCGTGCAAAAGAATTAACATTCTAATTAAAATCTAATTATACTTTGATTTGCCAGATAATTATACTCGTGTGTCGCTGTTCTCTGGACTATTCAGATTTGATGAGGTGTGTTAGTGGTAATTACCTCGCTGATATGGAGTTGTGTGACAGCGCAGTTTTCACACGGAGGCGAAACAAAAGAAAATGCAGTTCCTTTGTGTGTTACGTGTTTCAATGGTTTGAGCAAGAGAACTTTCTGAAAGTTCACCTTTTTTTAGAAGAAATTGCAGTTCTAATAGCGTTGCCTGTGGCCAGCTTTCAATATTTTATACATTTATAGGTTTTCATGACAAAAACATGCAAGTGTGTCCCTCACAGTCCATGTCTCTACACCAGCACTGCACAATGAAGCTCTCCAGGGAAACACATTTTAATCATATATGAAGTTTAAAGGGATAAAAAAAGATGAATCCATTTGATCAAGGCAAAAAATAACTCAACAAAATGAATATATTAAGTTGTGGTGACAGAAACGTGACGATGTCAACTGACATCCAGGTCTGTCAGATGTTTTTACAAAAACCATGATCTTTGTTCTTACTTTAACCGAGTGTTTCACAACATTAACAAGTGACATTGTGGCTGATATGAAACGTATTCATGAAATGTATTTTTGATTCAGAAACATCGACATTCAACGTATCCCCTGGTTCGCAGAAAAGTACAATGTCGACATTTTTCCTGCCAACTGGTTTGACTTTGAAGCTTGTGGCTACATCCCAAGAAATCCATTTGTATATAATTTATGTAATCATGAACGCAAAAACCCAAACAGGGTAGTTATGGCCGAGGCGGATGAGTCAAACAAACACCAGTCTTTCACCCAGGAGACCGCTGTTCATGTCACGTGTGAAACGAGAAGTCAGCGTTGATTTGTCACGTAACTTCTCCACTTAAGTAACGGCACTTCTGTGGTTGTTTTAACCCAAACGACGATCTTTTCCTGAACCTAACCAAGTAGTTTTGTTGCCTGAATCTAACTAGTTTCCAGTGAAGATGGAACATTATTTTGAAAAGCCTGCGTGTGTGTGTTGCTGGACTTTTGCACGAAAACTCGTGAAAAAGTTATTCCAGACGTATGAGGATACGTTGTTAGATTTGCATAGATTTCAATGCTGGTGCCATCCATAATAATAAACATACCTTGTAACAAATATACCTACACATATTACAGAAATCACAATAAATACCTAAAACCCTTTTTTATTGAGAACATTCGTCGCAGCACGAGCAGGTGAAACAGATAGAGCTCAACAGCAGCTGTGGTGTTTTCACTTCCAGTGCATGTCGGTGCTTTTACATAATTCCATAGCCTGAAGTCACTTCCTCCACCTGCTACACACACCTTGTTCAAACAAGAGGCACCTGGAATGTCCTGCATGTCCTAAAAACCACACAACATGAGGAAAGGTGTCATTAGCGTTTATTGTAACCTGAGGGGGTAGAAGGTAGTCGGATGTGCAGGAGTTACGAAACATAATTACTCATCTTGAGTCAATAACTGTGTGACGACTGTCAGAACATTTGCATCATCCTTCTGGAAGACTTGTATTCATATTTTAAAATGCCACTTGGCCACATGTTCGTGTTGCGTTTGGTTAAATGGATGAGGAAGGCTTCGGTTCATGCAGCTCCACGCTGCGCTGCCAAGGTTTAGAGGTTCAGCTCGGTGCAGATCAATGAGTAGAGAAATGCACCGAGTCTGCCAAGGGACGGGGAGATTTAAAAATGGCACAATGAGCCATCCACGCCGAGGGTGGAGGCACCTGCAGCTTCCATAATGTGCCTTGAGTATAAAGGAAACTTTAATTAAATGTTGAACAGAAAAGTCCCCCATGCTCCTGTACTGTTGCATAATCTGTGATGCTCAGTGCTGTCAATGAGGTATTTTGTGTTACCATGGAAAAGTGAAAATACATGTTTGCGTCTATTTCTGTCGTGTGTTATTGAAGGATTTTCGGGTCATATGAGGGTTGTCACCCACTTTCCACATGTGAGTTAGAAAAACTGAAAAAGAAGGAAGAAAAGAAACACAGAGGGGCCCACAAAAACACGTCTCACTCTCCAAAAATAATATATAGCAAATCATTTTTATGCTAAATTGCATAATTTGTCCTTATGCAACATCTTTTGTGAAACATCTTAGATTTCACACATGGCAGACTTCACATCTGTAACCTCTTCCTGGTGTCACTGAGCCAAAATACTTTTCTGTTTCCTTTAGAGTGACTGTTCTCTCTTTATTGGGAAATGAGTTTTGGATGCCTGCTTTGTTCGCCACGTGTTCATATTCTTCAAGCTGATATCTGTGCTTCAATGAGAGGCTCTCAGCCTGGATGTCAAAGAATGTAAAGTAGAAGATACAGATTCCCATGCCTGAGCAGATTGCGTGGTTCTGTAATCAATCGTAGCTTGAAAATGAGAAATGGAAATCATCTTTTAGTTTGATAGGTCCTCTCTCTGTGTTAATTACAACCGTACAACAAGAGATAGTTTACCGGCCAAAAATCTACGAGAACAATGTGGTTTTAGTCAACACAAATTACATTTTTGTTTCATGAAGGAGAAGGTCTTTAGTTGCCACTGGAGTGACACAAATATATGTATATATATTTATCTATATATTTATATAGATAAATATAAAATATCTATATATAAAATAAACAATAAAGGCTCTGTGTATAATTCAGTTAAAGAAAAATGAAAGAACTATAAGTGAAAACAAAACAATAATATACAATGAAATAAAAGTAAAAATAAACATTCATACATGTGGCTGATGAGAATTAAACCCCCAACCTCCTGCAATGGCAGTGCCTTGCTCATTAATAGTCTGAAGAAAAATAAAATAAAATAAAAACTAAACTCCTGACTGGCCTGAGCTCTGACCTGTGTGAATATTGTTAATGCAACATGATTAAGTAGCTTTGTACAGAAGAGGATACAGATGTTATTGGGTGTGTGCACTGGGACCTCTGGCTCTGCAGAAGTCCAACAGCTGGTTACATCATGCGCATGCGCACTGAACTGGAAACTGACGAGGCCTTGAAGTGCCGTTGGAAAGATTTGCTCGACACCCGGGCGAGCATGAAGAACCAAACAATCTGTGATCACTGTGTCACTATTTTGACCTTTTATGAAATGCAGTAGTGAGACTAAATCCTTACGAAAGTAAAATGCTGATTGAACATGAATGCATCAGTAATCTGACGTTCTGAGGTTTAGATGTTGCTTCCATTACTTGTTTTCTTTCAGGATGATGGAAAGAAAACATTCAAAATACACATTTAAGTGTTTTACTTTGTCTATTTGCACCTGTAGATGTATCCCAAATCCACCAAAAGTTAGCATTAAATAATGTTTTACCCTATACACTCCCATGTCATGTTATACATTTCTTACATACATTTATTTTAATACATATCTTTAAAGGACGTTTTCTCCCAATGAGTTTTTTCCAGTATATTCTAAAGGTTTTTAAAGAGGGGTTTGTTCATATATCATTCATAGCCGGATTCATACAACATTTTTAGGTTAAAAGGGACATTGTTTAAGGGTGTTGACAGTATTTAATGACTTTGAATCATACTTTATCCAATGTTCATATTTCTGTTCTGGAAATGTATGCAAATGAGCACATATTTAACAAGATTAATGCTCATTTGCATATTTAAACGTTGAATTCCAGAAAACTTATAATGCAAAAATGTATTGTTTTCAAAAAAGTAATCAATTGAGGAAGTTTCATGGCTGTATATTATAGTTTATATGTTTTACTCAACTCACATATTGTCTCTCTTCTTTGTATAAAATACATATTTATTCTACTGACAACATAAGTTTCATGACTCATATTACAGCATTACTTTTAATCATTTCCAACTGCGTTAAAAATAAAGTTCCTCCTGCAGCACTCAGAAACCCGAGCTTTGAAAGCAGCACTTGAAGGAGACCTAACTTTTCTTCCTCCTGAGTTTGTACTTTGTAGCAGCTCGGTGAAGTTTGTTCTCGCGCAGCAGTGATTTATCCCCTCAAACGAGGGTCCACGTGAGCTCAGGAGACCGTTTTGTGTTTATTGGGGATGTTGAGTGAACGGTGAGTCAGGGAGATGAAGAAACCTCACGGATGGTGACGTCAGGGCGGTGGTTTCCTTTATTTCGCAGGTTTGCAAATCGGTTTAACTTGGTTGTTTTTGGAGGAACTTCGACAATGTAGCTCCTCTCACTGTGGGATGCGCACGCTGTGAAACTCTCTTCGAAAGGCTATTTATTATTTTTAATTATTATTTATTTTTTCTTCAACTCGAGACTTTTTACTGCAATTCCTGTGGCAAAAAAATAACATGTTGGAAAAGTTGTCACGTTATTCCCCCACGGAGGGGGAACGTTTTTCCGGAAAGAGTCGGTGGACTTTGGCGGCGGTCGCTGTGCTCCTCCTGGGGTTGTTTGCCTCGTCTTGCTGGGCGGAAGAAGCATCATGTCACGGAGCCTACGACCTCTACTTTGTTTTAGACAAGTAAGTAAGAGAGAGAAAGTTTGTCTGCTTTTGTTAAAAAGCTGTTATTTTAGTTGTAAAGCTGTTTAGTTTGCCTGTGGGAGGGGAAAGTTGTGACCAGGTGTGGTGCTCGTTTCTGTGAGCCGTTATATTCTGTGACCTGATTAGGGAAATACTTGGCACTGCACACATACTGTTTTTTTGTTTGTTTTTAACCCAAAATTGAGTTCAACACCATAGTGCTACTGTTGGGTGTCACAATGATATGGACACTCCTCTCATATGGAAACCATGTAGACAAGAGTGTCAACATATATCTAATAAAAGGGAAGTCTGAATGGTACAATATGCCCAAATCAGAGATGGCAATGGTTTGAGAAAGGCCCCTTCCTGTTTCATCATGACAACACCCAAGTGCTCACAGCCACATCCATAGATGGATAGATTATATCTTTATTTCTGTGTCATGCACGTAATGTGCCCAACAATCATTGGTTTATAAGACACCAAAACACAGCTGCAGCGGACACGCATTTCATTACCTTTATTTTAATAACTAAATTACAGGTTACTTCACCGCTTGGTCCTAAACAAAAATATCCTGCCTTCCCTCCCAGGCCTGGCAAATACAATCTGCTAAAAAAAGTTTCTTTTCTGAAGCACAGCTCAAGTTTTAGCCAAAATAAGTCAACATAAATGGAAGTCATTTTACAAAAGAGTACGTCCCTAATGTCCTCAGATAGGACAGTTAATACATGTTTGGTGTGGAAGAAGTTGACCTTGAGTCCTGACCTCACCCTCATCATACACACAAGTGATGCTTGTCCCTGATTGGCTGTAGTCTTGTGATGCTCAGTGGTCACATGGGAGGAAGAGAGGACTGTGAGTAACCTCATGGAGCCACGCAGGTCTAACCGTGACCACTACCTCTCCCTGACACTAACCAACTAGTTTCATCCACGTATTCAGGTTAACCAACACGTAGCCATGCTGTCTCTGAGGAGAATAGTTGGTCACATGATGTCATGAGGTTTGGCAGCTCTTTGTCATGTACGGGAAACAAAATACTGACAATATTGAGAAGTGTTTGTCACGTCTTCCTTCCTCACCATAACAAAGAAAATGAGTAGTCCTTCAAAATACTTGTATAGATAAATTCACCCATGTTTTGTTAAGGTTGCATCATTTGAAGAGTTATAAAAAATGTCTATTCTTTGTCACACACGGCCATCTGAGTCCTTAAATATCAACACAAGTCCGACCTTAAACACACTGAGAAGTCCTCGAATGTTGTTTTGTTAATCATGCAAACTAGCAAGAAAGAATTGCATCACCGTTTGTAAACTTCCTGTGTCTGCTGAAGGCATCACACACACACACACACACACACACACACACACACACACACGCTGCAGAGCCACATTCAGCCAGTTCAGCAACGCTTTGCAGTAGTGTCATGCAAATTTAAAAAAAAAAAAAAAAAAAAAAGAAAGCCTCCTAATATATTAGGAGGAGTTTCAGCCTTGACAGCGACTGATTCTAATCCTGTCCTCCCCCGGTTCTGGAGACCTGCCGTTGCTCCGGGTCATTGAGTTGAAGCGCTGCTCCTCTGACCCATTTAAAAAAAAAAAAAAAAAAACCCGACCCCACCCTCGTCTAAATTACCGGATGATGACCGAGATTATTGGCTCAAGTTAGACCCGAGAGCATGCATACGTTTGTGAATTAGGGATCTGTTTGATTTACAAATGCAATGCATGTTTATGTTGCTGATGTAAAAAACCTATTCTGCAGAAGAAGCTCCGTCAGGGTCGAATAGCTCGTCCCTTTGAAGGTTCACTTTGTCCCTGCAGGATAAAGTCTCTCCACTCTCAGACTTCCTGATGGTTCTGATAAGACGAACATCCTAATATCAGCAAGTTGTGCTGCAGGATTTGCAGAAATCTGCAGCGTTACTTCAGCGTTGGGCCAGTTCATGAAAGCTTCACTGTTTGGTTCTTTTTTTCTTTCCAAGGAAAAACGTCCTGTGAGGCGACACTTTTAATGTCCCTAAACTTTATTTATTCAGGGAAGTTTTACTGAGAGCCAAGCTCCCTATTTTATGAATGCCCGATCACACGCGGACCAGTTGAGTCCCAGTCTGATGTGCTGCTGGTGTCTGAGCTGAAGGCCCCTCAGAGACGGCAATGAGGGAACGGCGAGCGCTGCTCTTACATTTTTTTCACACAGATTTATTTTCTAAAATCTTCTGTCTTGTAATGTGAAATGTTAAAACAAATCCCCTCACCGTCGTCTCTGTGTGACCTCGTCTTTGGGTATCGGGGAGGAAAGAGAGGTGGCATGAATAGCCTCCTAATGGAGAAACCCTGTTTCACGTCCTCCCAGCATACATTGCGTTATAATTATTGCGTGAATTACCTTGTTGTCGTCACATCGAGAGCACATGATCAGTGCTTCGTGTATACAGTCCATTGCCTTTAAGACGTGAGAGAGTGTCAGACTTTAGTCTTTTCACAGTCTTATGGTACATCAGCGTTAAGAGTTGGGCCTCATTGCTAATGTCGGCCGAGACTTTGGTGATTTTTCTACCTTTTTGTTTTGGGAAATAAAGTCCAAGTCTACCAGCCAAGTAGATCTTCAGAAAGGCAAAGAGCCTGTGTTCCACCAGCTGCCATAGAACAGACTCGTCGGCACAATTATCCAGCATGTGGCTGGTGTTAATATCAACTGTGGCTGCGGTACGGAAGCTCAAACTCTGTACAGTATCCGACTCCCCAGCACACACAATCTGCTGCTACTGACGAGCTGCTAACTGACTTCTTCTTGTTGTGTTTTATCGTTGCAGGTCCGGGAGTGTCTCCGATAACTGGGTCGAGATTTACTCGTTTGTGAGGAACCTCACCGACCGATTTGTGAGGTGAGTCCAAAGTGCCCAAAAACAGAGTTTCAGGGTTTCATAATTCTCATGTTTTGAAATAAGACCTGCAGATATTGCATGGCGCGAAGTCAAGCAATGATTCAAATAACAGAAATTACAAGAAAGGATATTCATCTGCATGCATCTCTTAAATATGACGGGTCAAGTGAAATGAGCTGATTGGTTGAAGGAGCAAAACACCTTTCTTGTTTTACATCAGTTTTGGTTTCTTTATCCGACAAACGTCTAGAATTAAAGATCCTACGACACGCAGCCCACACCTGCTTTCTTACAAACTATCAAATTGCAAAAATCCATGACGTTTTTTTGCTGCACATAATTCGTTAAAAACCCCGTCTTGAAACGTTCAGCTTGCATAACGTTTGAGTGGAAACGCGGCGGCTGCCAGCACAGTACAGACGGCGGCGACCCAGCCAGAACGAAGTGGTTCGGTTTGAAGGAAAAATAGCAAAGGCACCAGGTGGGAGTGGGTGGCAGAGAGGAGCAGTCTTCTGGGCTGTGAGAATGGCCATTTGCACCGGGGGGGGTGTGGGGGGGGGTCCGGCTTCCACACTTCATCCCTTGCTGACGGGG